GTGAGCTATAGAATACTGGGAATGAAGTAGAAAATAGTTTGAATGAGATAGAAAATAATGGGAATGAATTAGAAAATCTTTGGAATATGCTAGAAAATATTGGGGATGAAGTAGAAAATACTGGGGATGAGCTAGAAAATATTGTGGATCAAGTAGAAAAAATAATGGGAAAGAGCTAATAAATACATGTATTGGGGATGAAGTAGAAACTTGTGGGAAAGAGTTAGAAAATATTGTGGATAAAGTAGAAAGGACTGGGAATGAGAAAGAAAATATTGATTATGAAGTAGAAAATACTGGGGATGAGCTATAAAATATTCCGGATGAAGTAGAAAATATTGAAAATGAAGTACAAAATACTTGGAATGAGCTTTAAATATTGGGGATGAAGTAGAAAATACTGGGACTGAGATGCAAAATATTGAGGATTAAATTTTTAAAAATAATGGGAATGAGCTAGAAAATATTCTGAACGAAGTATAAAATAAAGGAAATGAGCTAGAAAATGTTCGGGATGAAGTAGTAATTACTGGGATCGAGCCAGAAAATAATAGGGATGAAGTAGAAAATACTAGGAACGAGCAGGAAATTATTGGAACTGACGTATATAATACTGGGGTTGAGCTAAAAAATAGTACGAATGTGCTAGAAAATACCTGGAATGTGGTAAAAGATATTATTGATTATCTAGAAAATAATAGACAAGAAGAAGCTAGAAAATATTAAGGATTTAGTAGAAAATATTGGGAATGAAGTACAAAATACTGGGACTGAGGTATAAAATATTGGGGATGAAGTAGACAGTACAGGGAAATAGCAGAAAATATTGATGATAAAGTAGAAAATAGCGCAAAGGAGCTAGAAAATATTACAGATGAGCTAGAAAATACCTAGGATGAGGTAAAACATATTATGGATCAGCTAGAAAATACCTAGGATGAGGTAAAACATATTATGGATCAGCTAGAAAATAATGGTCTGAAGTATAAAAAAATACGGGGGTGAGCTAAAAATGTATCAGGTGTGAAGTACAAAAATACTGGGAATGATGGAAAATATTGTGTATGAAGTAAAAACTACTGGGAATGAGCTAGAAAGTATTGAGGATGATGTATGAAATATATTAAATAAGCTAGAAAATATTGAGGATGATGTATGAAATATATTAAATAAGCTAGAAAATATTGAGGATGATGTATGAAATATATGGAATAAGCTACAAAATATTGGGGATGATGTATGAAATATATGGAATACGCTAGAAAATATTGGGGATGATGTATGAAATATATGGAATAAGCTAGAAAATATTGGGGATGAGCTAGAAAATATTGAGGATGAAGTAAAAAGTACTGGGATCGAGCGAGAAAATAACAGGGATGAGGCATATGACATATACTGGGGATATCTGGAATGTGGTATAAAATATTAAGGATCAGTTAGAAAACAATAAACATGAAGTAGAAAATACTGGGGATGAGCTAAAAAATATTGGATTTGAAGTATAAAATACTGGGAATGAGTTAGAAAATGTTTGGGTATGAAGTAGAAAATACTGGGAATTAGCTAGAAAATATTGATGATAAAGTAGAAAATTGCGGAAATGAGCTAGAAAATATAGGGAAATGAAGTAGAAAATAAGGGGAATGATATAAATCATATTAAGGATTAAGCTTTAAAAATTGCGGATGAGCTAGAAAATACTTAGGATGAGGTAAAAAATATTATTGTTCAGCTAGAAAATAATTAGGATGAGGTAAAAAATATTATTGATCAGCTAGAAAATAATTAGGATGAGGTAAAAAATATTATTGATCAGCTAGAAAATAATTAGGATGAGGTAAAAAAATATTATTGATCA